AGCCAAGCTGGGCCGCTTCCTCGGCGCGTCAAGGCGGACAGTCAGTGTGCACCACAGAGGTTCTGCCAGCTGCCCAGGAGAGCTTCATCCAGCCCCAAGCACCCCAGGGGACTGGTAGGAAATGAAATGCATGTTGTTTTGCTGTGCCTTTTTAAAAAGGTCCATTGTGCATTTAAGGCTTTTCTGTGCACTTAAGGTTTCCTATAGCAGTCCTTAAGTGCACAGAAAAATCTTAAATGCACAATGATGTCTTGGCCCCTCCCTGCACCCTCTTGGCTGTTTTTGGCTGGTGCAGAGGCCCCACCTTATCCCTTTGACCATGTACAACCCCTCTAGACTGAAAATTTCATTCACTCTCTCTCCCATTTCAGCCAAGCTGGGCCGCTTCCTCGGCGCTGTCAAGGCGGACAGTCAGCGTGCACCACAGAGGTTCTGCCAGCTGCCCAGGAGAGCTTCATCCAGCCCCAAGCACCCCAGGGGACTGGTAGGAAATGAAATGCATGTTGTTTTTGCTGTGCCTTTTTTAAAAAGGTCCATTGTGCATTTAAGGCTTTTCTGTGCACTTAAGGTTTCCTATAGCAGTCCTTAAGTGCACAGAAAAACCTTAAATGCACAATGATGTCTTGGCCCCTCCTGCACCCTCTTGGCTGTTTTGGCTGGTGCAGAGGCCCCACCTTATCCCTTTGACCATGTACAACCCCTCTCTAGACTGAAAATTTCATTCACTCTCTCTCCCCATTTCAGCCAAGCTGGGCCACTTCCTCGGCGCGTCAAGGCGGACAGTCAGCTGCACCACAGAGGTTCTGCCAGCTGCCCAGGAGAGCTTCATCCAGCCCCAAGCACCCCAGGGGACTGGTAGGAAATGAAATGCATGTTGTTTTTGCTGTGCCTTTTTAAAAGGTCCATTGTGCATTTAAGGTTTTCTGTGCACTTAAGGTTTCCTATAGCAGTCCTTAAGTGCACAGAAAAACTTAAATGCACAATGATGTCTTGGCCCCTCCCTGCACCCTCTTGGCTGTTTTGGCTGGTGCAGAGGCCCCACCTTATCCCTTTGACCATGTACAACCCCTCTAGACTGAAAATTTCATTCACTCTCTCTCCCATTTCAGCCAAGCTGGGCCACTTCCTCGGCGCCAAGGGCATGGACAGTCAGCGTGCACCACAGAGGTTCTGCCAGCTGCCCAGGAGAGCTTCATCCAGCCCCAAGCACCCCAGGGGACTGGTAGGAAATGAAATGCATGTTGTTTTTGCTGTGCCTTTTTTAAAAAGGTCCATTGTGCATTTAAGGCTTTTCTGTGCACTTAAGGTTTCCTATAGCAGTCCTTAAGTGCACAGAAAAATCTTAAATGCACAATGATGTCTTGGCCCCTCCCTGCACCCTCTTGGCTGTTTTTGGCTGGTGCAGAGGCCCCACCTTATCCCTTTGACCATGTACAACCCCCTCTAGACTGAAAATTTCATTCACTCTCTCTCCCATTTCAGCCAAGCTGGGCCGCTTCCTCGGCGCGTCAAGGCGGACAGTCAGCGTGCACCACAGAGGTTCTGCCAGCTGCCCAGGAGAGCTTCATCCAGCCCCAAGCACCCCAGGGGACTGGTAGGAAATGAAATGCATGTTGTTTTTGCTGTGCCTTTTTGAAAAAGGTCCATTGTGCATTTAAGGTTTTCTGTGCACTTAAGGTTTCCTATAGCAGTCCTTAAGTGCACAGAAAAACCTTAAATGCACAATGATGTCTTGGCCCCTCCCTGCACCCTCTTGGCTGTTTTTGGCTGGTGCAGAGGCCCCACCTTATCCCTTTGACCATGTACAACCCCCTCTAGACTGAAAATTTCATTCACTCTCTCTCCCATTTCAGCCAAGCTGGGCCGCTTCTCTTGGCGTCAAAGCGGGACAGTCAGCGGCACACCACAGAGGTTCTGCCAGCTGCCCAGGAGAGCTTCATCCAGCCCCAAGCACCCCAGGGGACTGGTAGGAAATGAAATGCATGTTGTTTTTGCTGTGCCTTTTTGAAAAAGGTCCATTGTGCATTTAAGGCTTTTCTGTGCACTTAAGGTTTCCTATAGCAGTCCTTAAGTGCACAGAAAAATCTTAAATGCACAATGATGTCTTGGCCCCTCCCTGCACCCTCTTGGCTGTTTTTGGCTGGTGCAGAGGCCCCACCTTATCCCTTTGACCATGTACAACCCCTCTAGACTGAAAATTTCATTCACTCTCTCTCCCATTTCAGCCAAGCTGGGCCACTTCCTCGGCGCGCAAGCAAGGCGGACAGTCAGCTGCACCACAGAGGTTCTGCCAGCTGCCCAGGAGAGCTTCATCCAGCCCCAAGCACCCCAGGGGACTGGTAGGAAATGAAATGCATGTTGTTTTTGCTGTGCCTTTTTTAAAAAGGGTCCATTGTGCATTTATAGGCTTTTCTGTGCACTTAAGGTTTCCTATAGCAGTCCTTAAGTGCACAGAAAAATCTTAAATGCACAATGATGTCTTGGCCCCTCCCTGCACCCTCTTGGCTGTTTTGGCTGGTGCAGAGGCCCCACCTTATCCCTTTGACCATGTACAACCCCTCTAGACTGAAAATTTCATTCACTCTCTCTCCCATTTCAGCCAAGCTGGGCCGCTTCCTCGGCGCGTCAAGGCGGACAGTCAGCTGTGCACCACAGAGGTTCTGCCAGCTGCCCAGGAGAGCTTCATCCAGCCCCAAGCACCCCAGGGGACTGGTAGGAAATGAAATGCATGTTGTTTTTTGCTGTGCCTTTTTAAAAAAGGTCCATTGTGCATTTAAGGCTTTTCTGTGCACTTAAGGTTTCCTATAGCAGTCCTTAAGTGCACAGAAAAACCTTAAATGCACAATGATGTCTTGGCCCCTCCCTGCACCCTCTTGGCTGTTTTTGGCTGGTGCAGAGGCCCCACCTTATCCCTTTGACCATGTACAACCCCTCTAGACTGAAAATTTCATTCACTCTCTCTCCCATTTCAGCCAAGCTGGGCCACTTCCTCGACGCGTCAAGGCGGACAGTCAGCGTGCACCACAGAGGTTCTGCCAGCTGCCCAGGAGAGCTTCATCCAGCCCCAAGCACCCCAGGGGACTGGTAGGAAATGAAATGCATGTTGTTTTTGCTGTGCCTTTTTTAAAAAGGTCCATTGTGCATTTAAGGCTTTTCTGTGCACTTAAGGTTTCCTATAGCAGTCCTTAAGTGCACAGAAAAACCTTAAATGCACAATGATGTCTTGGCCCCTCCCTGCACCCTCTTGGCTGTTTTTGGCTGGTGCAGAGGCCCCACCTTATCCCTTTGACCATGTACAACCCCTCTAGACTGAAAATTTCATTCACTCTCTCTCCCATTTCAGCCAAGCTGGGCCACTTCCTCGGCGCGTCAAGGGACAGTCAGTGTGCACCACAGAGGTTCTGCCAGCTGCCCAGGAGAGCTTCATCCAGCCCCAAGCACCCCAGGGGACTGGTAGGAAATGAAATGCATGTTGTTTTTGCTGTGCCTTTTTGAAAAAGGTCCATTGTGCATTTAAGGCTTTTCTGTGCACTTAAGGTTTCCTATAGCAGTCCTTAAGTGCACAGAAAAACCTTAAATGCACAATGATGTCTTGGCCCCTCCCTGCACCCTCTTGGCTGTTTTTGGCTGGTGCAGAGGCCCCACCTTATCCCTTTGACCATGTACAACCCCCTCTAGACTGAAAATTTCATTCACTCTCTCTCCCATTTCAGCCAAGCTGGGCCACTTCCTCGGCGCGTCAAGGCGGACAGTCAGCATGCACCACAGAGGTTCTGCCAGCTGCCCAGGAGAGCTTCATCCAGCCCCAAGCACCCCAGGGGACTGGTAGGAAATGAAATGCATGTTGTTTTGCTGTGCCTTTTTGAAAAAGGTCCATTGTGCATTTAAGGCTTTTCTGTGCACTTAAGGTTTCCTATAGCAGTCCTTAAGTGCACAGAAAAATCTTAAATGCACAATGATGTCTTGGCCCCTCCCTGCACCCTCTTGGCTGTTTTTGGCTGGTGCAGAGGCCCCACCTTATCCCTTTGACCATGTACAACCCCCTCTAGACTGAAAATTTCATTCACTCTCTCTCCCATTTCAGCCAAGCTGGGCCACTTCCTCGGCGCTGCAAAGGCATGGACAGTCAGCGTGCACCACAGAGGTTCTGCCAGCTGCCCAGGAGAGCTTCATCCAGCCCCAAGCACCCCAGGGGACTGGTAGGAAATGAAATGCATGTTGTTTTTGCTGTGCCTTTTTTAAAAAGGTCCATTGTGCATTTAAGGCTTTCTGTGCACTTAAGGTTTCCTATAGCAGTCCTTAAGTGCACAGAAAAACCTTAAATGCACAATGATGTCTTGGCCCCTCCCTGCACCCTCTTGGCTGTTTTTGGCTGGTGCAGAGGCCCCACCTTATCCCTTTGACCATGTACAACCCTCTCTAGACTGAAAATTTCATTCACTCTCTCTCCCATTTCAGCCAAGCTGGGCCACTTCCTCGGCGTGTCAAGGCGGACAGTCAGCGTGCACCACAGAGGTTCTGCCAGCTGCCCAGGAGAGCTTCATCCAGCCCCAAGCACCCCAGGGGACTGGTAGGAAATGAAATGCATGTTGTTTTTGCTGTGCCTTTTTAAAAAGGTCCATTGTGCATTTAAGGCTTTTCTGTGCACTTAAGGTTTCCTATAGCAGTCCTTAAGTGCACAGAAAAATCTTAAATGCACAATGATGTCTTGGCCCCCTCCCTGCACCTTCTTGGCTGTTTTGGCTGGTGCAGAGGCCCCACCTTATCCCTTTGACCATGTACAACCCCTCTAGACTGAAAATTTCATTCACTCTCTCCCATTTCAGCCAAGCTGGGCCACCTTGGCGTGTCATCGGACAGGACAGTCAGCGTGCACCACAGAGGTTCTGCCAGCTGCCCAGGAGAGCTTCATCCAGCCCCAAGCACCCCAGGGACTGGTAGGAAATGAAATGCATGTTGTTTTGACTGTGCCTTTTACCCCAAGTTCAAGGCTGTTTAGTGTATTTCAGCTAGAAAATTCTGGTGACCGTTGTTGACAGTGGATACAGCAAAATTGAAATGCTCGATCCAGACCGATATTTTGGTGGGTAAGTGAGAAGTAGTAGGTTGGTCAGCATGCCACAGGTCAGCCTAGGACAGTTATTAATTATGATGCTCTGGCCATGGCATGTCACTGTAGATAGTAAAGTGGTCTGAGGCTATATGTACTACATGTATTGGCTGTTAACAGCCTGGTTGTTTTTAATGTTGCTTTGGAAGTTAATGGGAAAACATTTGATTTTGTGCAACATGTAAAGGTGAGTGCACATTTTAGTAATTCATACATTACATGTATATGCTTTCCTATTTATGTTTCACCATGGATACAAGTTGGCATTGTTATAGAGACTAATTTAAGGGAGTGAAGCTAGGGCTGCTTGAGTTGAATGGATTGTTTTAGTGGCCTTGATTTGTATGTAGCCTCGATTTGTGGTCTAACAGTGACAAGAGCCCACATGGTAATGGTTACCTGGCTTCTAAATTTGTTGAAACCGATGAATTGACAACAAATTAGGATAAAGTCACCACTGACACAATTTGGGTGTCTGTGTGTAAAGTCATATGATATGAGTATTGTGAGTATGAAATGTGTTCACTGCTGATGGCACAATATGTCACAAAACCCTCTTATTTTAAGTAAACAGTGTTGCATATGATCCATTCTTTCTGTTACACCCTTTTTGCATATGAATAAAAATTTTTCTCTCATGACTTTCAAACAATTATTTAGTTTCTCAAAAACTGTCTCATGGCTGTTATGGTCTTTATGATTGAACATTTAATATGATCTTGACACTATTTTCAGCTTGGAGAATGACTGATGGTGACTGGGGAGGTGTATCTTTGCACATACAGCAGAATCAGAAGCCTTCACATCCAATGTTGTGTTTCAACAAGTTGGTCTGATGTTGGCAGTGTGTGCACCCTCCTTTCACCTTGATATCCTCTACCACCTTGAACAAGTTGTGGTACTTGAACATGTAGGTACATACAGTACATTTAAGTGCCCCAGTCCAGTGAAGGCTGTATCTCAAATTCCATAACTCTCTCAATTTCATCCATTAGATATTTCTGATGAATAATAATCACTTTTGGGCAGGGTAACTAATAAACTTCATAAGTTATCTGGATTTTTTTCATTTTGTTTTTCATATATGAAATTGGCAAGTCTAGCATTCTCAAAACAGCAAACAGTGAATTTTTTTTATTTCATGGAAGTATTTCAAAGTCTTAGCTTGATGAATTGATAGACTCATGTGTAATTTCGTTTCATGCTGTGGTCTCAAAGAGCTTTCATCTGTTTCAATTTCAATTTCTTGGCTTTAACAGGCAGTAGGGTTCTTTGGTCAGTGTTTCACATTGCTAGGCATATTCCAACCCCTTACTTTATACTTTCTGGCAAAATTCATTATTCAACCTTACATATGTCAGGACTTTAAAGCTGTTTAATGTGACCCTGGCCAATTTTTGGCCTGAATTCTGTGCTTTCTAACTTTGAACAATGTTTCTGATTCCTCTCCACTTAGATCACCAGCCTACATCAAAGATGCTTACACAAATGACTTTGGGGATAAATTAAAGATCAGACACTGGTGTTAGCCCTCTCATAAATGGTTTATCAAACCTGGACAGTTGTTTGTTTACAATATAAACAATGCAGGAGTGTGTGTTGAAACAGTTTTAAACTATCTCAATCACATCAGGTCATGAGTATCAAAACCATATTCTATTAATGTAGCAGACTCTGCTATGATTTGATGGTGTCAGCAGAGGAAGGCAAACAACTGACCATTAATGAACAGGAATCGAAGTTGCATAGTTACTAGTTTTGAGGTTTAAAGATTTTCTGTCATTCTAAATATGATGTTGCGTGAAATTATCCCATGACACTCTTTTTTTGTGACAAATGAATAAACTCCCATGGTATCTGTATGATTATAAACCATTCTTTATTAATGCAGAAATACATTTTGCAAAACATTAATGAAATAGACATAATTTATCTCTTACAGGTCTTTCAGTGTAACAAATCTCTCTGTATCTTGTGCCATATAGACATGTTGGACAGGGAAAAGTATTGAAGCTTCATCCAATTCTTTTAAACAAAAATTTAAGGGACATATTTTTTAAGTGACATGTACATATACAGGGCAGGGAGTAGCCCACTGGTTAAAGTGTTCGCTTCCCAGGTTTGATTCCCCACATGGATGAAGCCCATTTCTGGTGTCCCCTGCCGTGATATTGCTGGAATATTGCTAAATGCGGCATAAAACTAAATTCACTCTCTCACTCACATGTACAGTACATAAATCACAGATTTGCCTAGTGCAGATGTCTCCATTTTTTTCAACATTAAGACCTTTCTGTACGTTTAAGGGCAGCTGCAGAAGGGTCATAAGTACACATATAAACATCACATAGGAAGACAAGGCATTATTGACTTAAGTAGTTGAGTGATATTTCATACAACATGTAAGTGCATGTAAGTATCCATTTCATATTTCATATTTATAATAACCTGAAGATTACAGCAAAATATATGAAAAGGAAACACCAGCTGTTTATCACCTAAATAATTTTCTTTTTGCAAACTGCTTTGGAGACTACCACATGTGAAATATTATTTAGTTGCCATGTCATTTACTCTGTTCAATGTTAGAGCATGTAAAACACATTTTGGACCAAAGGCCATTTTGGATGTATTTGATTAGGTGTGGTGAAAGTCTGACAATATAATTATGTTCACAGCTGAGTTGGCTAGTACACTGACTTTGTATGTTGGCGATTTGGTGGAGAGAGTCGGTTCAAATCCTGGATGGGACTGAACCCCAAACACAGAACCTAGCCTTTGTTTCTTAGTTTGAAGATAATTGTTAGTCATGTTAGTGTCTCATTTGCCCTAATTCATAATCAGCCACATATTAAGAATAGGCAGCAGCTGAACTATTTGGGTGTGATTACATCTTGATATGGTATGTTAATAATGGTGTGCATTAATATAGTGTTCAGTGACTGTTTATGTGTTTCATATGTGTTTATTATGTTATAATCTATTGTGCAGTGATATGTTCATTGTACCATACTGTCAATATGTTTACCCGAATAAACTCTAGAGAGTAATCTTAATGCTGATGAGGCAACCACATTAAAATGTTTTACCTGTTTGGTTTGTCTTATTCTTTTCATTTTTTGTGGAATAACACTCCAGATAGAATAAAGAGGGTCCTTGTGTGTACCTTTTGTATTGTATACATTTGTTAATAACTTTTGTAAGATGACTCAATAAATTATATAACATTATTAACATTAATCACATAATGTGAGATAAAATATAAACAAACATATGACGTACAATTGAACCTAATGATGGATTTTGATGCATTTCAGGCACAACCTTCAAGAAATAGAAGCATTGGTGTTATTTCAAATGACATCACGACTGCCTTAGATTAAAACTTGAAGGAGGTGACATTCCCCAGAAAAGTAACACTGTCAAGTTTTATCATTTTTGTACAAAAATGAAGAAGTTTGATTTACCTTTGAAAGAAATCCACAACCCTGTCCATGGAAAATACAGACTGGAAATTATTGATGGGGACAGGAAAATAGTGATTCCTCAGTCTGGACTTCATAATGTCATATCCACAAATTTACACAGCATTTGTTGGGTTCAGGATCCTAAATTCCAAAATATAAGAACATTGATAAACCGGTATTATGCTGAAAAATTCTTAGGAACTGCACAGGAGTTTATTGATAAGCAGGGTGACAGGCAATTGTTATCCCAAATTCCCTAATGAAGCAAATTTGAAACCTGACATAGAAAACATAGAAAACACCAGTGGGGCAACATACCATTACCTTGAGTATGGATGGGGAAATCCAAGAATACCACAATGTGACCAAGGCTCTGAGTTTAAGTGAGCAGTCAACCAATTATTAGTGGTGGTCTGATTAATTGAAATAATCGAAGATGCAGTGACTAAATGACCAAGCAATCGAAAAATGTTTTCATAATCGAACACAAGCAGTTTTGGAACACTTGTTTGCATTAACAATATTTTTTCACAAGGTTGGTTTGTCTGAGTCATTATATTTACATTTCATAAGCACTACAAGTTTGTTTCAAGTCATGATTGAATTAATCTTAAAGACTGCTGGAAATTTATGTTCCTCACATATTAGCTATCCTTTAAATATGTGAAGTATGAAAATGCATTTTGTGCAATTTACCCCCAAACCCAAAGAACTACATGGGGTTTTTTTGTAAATTATTTTGTGCATTAACAAAGGTAACAGGAACATTTGGTAAATGATCCTAACCAATTATTTTCGATGATTGATCGGTTGTAATGGACCAATGATCAATTTTGACCAATTCCCAACACTACCAATTATGCATTGAAATGGGAACAATAATTGTCATAAGTCTTAACTCACCATCCCTAATATCAGGGAAGAGTAGGAGATAAATAACAAATAATATATATGGGATCTGAAATATGATATGTAATCTATAAAGGTCATGTCCATGGTTAAGGTCACAGATGTAAAGGCATCTTCCTGATGCTTGATATGAAGGAAATTATTGTTGGTGTAAGTTGGAACATATCAACGTTAGGGCAGAGCCACAAACACAGAACAGATGTATTGGACTTGCAGGTTCCCACTCACTGGTCAGGCAATATAGGCTCAGCTTTTTTGTGAACCGTTGGTACCACCACAAACTGGTAGTAATTCATGAACACTGTATGCCATAGTCACAATCAGACAATTGACCCCACTTTTGTTAGGATTATAGAGATATTTTGCTAGTTTCATTTGCACATGCATGGCTGAAGATGTATTTGTTATTTTTCCATTGAGTGAATCAATGTATTTGACAGTTCACATCTTTCTGTCATGACACCTTAACAGGTATGCTTCTTTTTGGCAATGTTACATACTGTAGTTAGACTTTTCTGTTTTGATGTTACATTTTAACCTCAATTGTCAAATAAGGCATTTTTAAGTTAAATCTCAACATCTGTGTCTATTTTGTGCATCCCTTCATGGTTACTCAGAAAACATCAACACATGGATGCAGTTATTATTTATATTATGGCATTAAAAACAAATGTTTGTTTGTATAAATAACTTCATATGTTTACAGGTTGTTCACCATACCATCCCATGTTGGGTTGCCCCCCAGTCCAGATCAACAGTTTGTTGAGGAAAAGCTTGGAATTCAGTTGATGCCTATTCTTGCTGTGAAGAGGAGCAATCTGAACTGTATGCAGGGGCACTGTTGAATTTTTAGATTTAGCATTTAATTAGGCAAGTGGGCACATCTGTTATCCCATGTCATACAACAGTGCTGTATCTATATAGGTGAAAATAGATCCCCAGGAAAAAATCCCTATGTTGAGTCAGGTGACCAGGAGGTAGTCAGTCTTGGTAAGCTAGTTTATGGTACAGCTGGAGTAGTCTGGGATGTTAATTATAATGCAGAGTCAATTAAAAAGAAAGGTGCAGCATCATACAAACATTAAAGGACTGATGAATGCTACATTATTATGATTATTATTATTATGAATTTATGACTTCAGTCTTTGCTGTCAAATGCAAATCTCAGTCGCTGAAAAGTACCAGGGTACCATTTCTAATTCATGGCATTACAAGGTATTGAAAGCTTTAAGAGTAGGGAGTGAGTGAAAGATTTCGGTGTAGTCATTATTATGTAACTTGTGCTCATATGCTTTAGGATTAATGGTATGTTCTCTTATGTTTACACTTCTGATGATTTTATGCACCATTGAATGGGAAAAGGATGTAGATTTCTGTGCCCTCTTGTTACTCTTTGCACAAAAGCTATGATTTAAAATCAGTTTGACAAAGTGTATTCATATTGTATCTTAACATTCCCATGTTTTTATGTATTTTTTATTTGTTCCCATAGTCAAAGGTATACAGTAACAACAAACACAGAAAAGGTGTAAAGATGTAATTATAATTTGTTGCTGAATATTGGCATGAGTGAATTCCATTTAAGACTTAAGACTGAATTTATCAATTTCATTGTTTCCCTTGAAAATAAAGTTTTGAACAGAAAATATCTCTTTTGATGCCATTTTATATTTAATGAATTTTGGAATTGATTTTTTAAATTAACATAAATTGATATGTTTTTTGGCAGAGATAATGATTTGATTTAGTAATACATCATTATGTAATGTACCAAACCAAATCAAATATTTTGTAATGTTTATTTTTCATGGTAAATAGTTATTAATTGATTTCGAGATCATTCCAGAATTTTATGCTTTCACAACAGTCCTAATAAGCACAACAAATGCTCTCAGAAACATCATTGCAAACTAACGGTAGACAAATCATTGTCAGTCAGGTTCATTTTGAATAATTATATTTTAGTATAAATAACTATATGCAGAAATGTGTATTGAAAATAAAGAAGTTCAACATCTTTCAATACATGTCAATAGAAGTTGAAAATTTTGTGCCAATCAAATTCACAATCATTGAATATCATTTCCCATTTAGTACAAATCTCAAGTTTGTAATTTTTAGAAATACACTTGTCATTAAGTAATCTTGAACCCTTTGAGAGCTTTAATATATATTTTTAAACTTATCCTATCTCACGGTATGCACCATCTCTCTCTTCTACGACCATGTGTGGAAACGTGCTGTCAGCTAAGTTGAGTCAAATCTAACTGGCCTCTGACCCGCCCTGACCTCTGCCTTCACCCCGACATCAATGCCTGTCAATCTTCCATCAAAGCGTGCGGCTCGCCTAAACGATCACATGACCACCTCTACTTGTCATTCTCTTTCTTGTCGCCACGCTGTGTGGGCGTGTGTTGTGGTTAAGAGAGTTTTTTGTTTGTGTTTTCTACTATGGGGAAAGCAAATCGTCACGCTTCAAGGAAACGCAAACATTGTGATAGATGCAATAGTAACTATTCGGCAGCGGACCCTCATAACTCTTGCGCGGATTGCCATGAACGATGCGCTTGGTCTAAACGTTGTAGTTTATGTGCTAACCTGGACGACGATGCATTCTCAGAGTATCATCTGGTAGCTAGCAGGCAGATAGAGATCGGAGGAATCCATCGGAAGGTCCATCGGAGCCGAAGTGTTCTAAATTAGATCGCCGAATAAAATCTGCAATAAGTTCTAAATCCAAATCTCCTAAAGAAGATTTTCTGGACGAGTCATCAGACTCTTATCTGAGTGAGAATGTGTTTCAACTGTTCTGACCCCATTCGTCTAGTCCTATTACTTTGGAAGATTCGTCACCTCCACGTATTGTTGTTTTGTCCACATCTGACATACAACCACGGCCATCCTTGTTGGTAAATGTGACTCAGCACCCTAATGGGTCGGAGGTGGCGACTACTCATACTATTACATCACAAGTGACGGTTACAGGCAGTGTGGCGCTTTCAACCAGAGCGGCGCTTACCTCGGGAGTGACGCTCTCATTAGGACAGTTATATACGGGCGAAGCGCCGCTTGTCACGGATCCCACGTGGCTACTCAGAGCGCCGCTCTCTTCCAGTGTGGTGCTTTGGATGGATTCAGCGCTTACTACCAGTTCGGCTTTTCCTCCCGGTGCGACACTTGCCCCTGGTATTCCCGGTTCGGCGCTACCTCCTGGTTTGGCGCTTAACCCTTGTTTTCCCGGTTCGGCGCTTCCTCCTGGTATGGCGCTTAACCCTGGTATTCCTGGTTCGGTGTTTACTCCAGGTTCGGCGCTTCATGGTTTTGCGTTTCCTCCCAGTGGTCCTGGTTTGACGCTTGCATCTGGTTCAACGCTTCCTTATGGTGCTCCCAGTTTGGCGCTTCCTCCCAGGATTCCCGGTTTGGCACTCACTAATGTTGGTCTTGGCTCGGCGCTTGCTCATGGTATTCACGGTTTAGCACCCCTTCCTAGGACTCCTCATCCTGGTTCGGCGCTTCCACCCGGTTCGACGCTTGCTCCCGGTGTTCAGGGTTCAACGCTTCCTCCTGGTTCGGCGTTTGCTCCCGGCGTTTCCGGTTTGACGCTCCCTACTAGTTCAACGCTTCATCATGCTGCTTTTAATTCAGCGCTCGCTCACGGCGTCGTGGTTCAGTGCTTACTCATAGTGTTATTGGATCAATGCTCACTTCAGGGATTCCTATTGCGAGTTTCACTCATGGGCCACCTGGCTCAATGCTTACTTATGGTGTTCCTGGTGTGGTACGGTCTCAAGCTACTGGAGTGGTTTATGGTTCAACGCTTCCTCAGGTTTCAGCGTTTACCACACAAGTGCCATCATCTCTTGTGGGAGTGACTCAATCAGCTGTATCTTCATCCTTGCTGTGTGACATACCTCATCTTCCCTCTGGGGCTGCTACAATTTCATCAGTTCCTTCTGCTACAGTTTCGACGGCGAGATCTGTTTTGCCAGTTTCCTGGAATCCAGTGTCTGAGGGGGAAACGTCTCAACCTATGGACTTCGATGCCTTTGTGTTGGTGGTAGCATCAGCTATACAGCATCAGGAGCCAGTGTCATCTCCTGTTACTCAGTCATCAGGGATTTCAACTACGCCAGCGGTGCCTGTGCAAGAGATTCTATGTTCAACAACACTGTCTATGTCTTCAGGAAGTATGTCTCCTTCGGATGTGAGTGTGGATGCTGTTGACTCACCTCAGCTACTTATCTGGATTGCTGATAACCTCAAGTTACAGCGTAGTACTTCGAAGGATGACATTTTATCCAGTTTTGATATGAAGACTGGAGACATTGGTTCTATCATGTTCCCTCCCCGACCGTGCATCACTCAGCTGACTGCGTTCCTGGATGAGGCTTTTGCTAGTTTGAGGAAGATTAAAGATGGTTTTGCTGCGCCTCGCTTCAACTTGGCATCTGCTCATGTACATGGATTGTCATCTATGATTGCCTCTCCTCCAGTAGATGATGATATCACGCTGTTGGGGACGAAACAGAGAGCTTATTCGCCCTTTCTGGTCGAAGACCGTGAACTGATACATTTAGATGCGTCCATAAGGAAGATTATGGCTCCATTGAACTTAATGTTGACAACTACTGAAGCGGTGGCCATGTCTGTCGCACATGCTACAACCCATCAGCAAGCATACATCCGAGCGGCTATGGTGTTATTGCAGGAACAATTCCAAACCATCCTAGATCTCTTGGCTCATTTCTTCTCCTATGTCACGGCTATGAGGCGTAGAGGACCGTTACAATTATCATCCTGGGAAGACAGATTCAGAATGGACCTGTTCCGCCCACCCTGGTCAGGCAATTCTCTGTTCAACGGGGCGATTAGGGAAGTAGCCGAAAGAGTAGGGAAGGATGCCCATCTACAAGTCTCGGTCGAATTGTGGAGGTTCCAGCGACTACAAGTGGAGCAATCAATGAGACAGCGACGACCAGCTCACTATGTCCCTACTAATCCGGACCTTCGCTCGGGTTCTACGGCTTCTTTTCGCGGGAGGAGTTCCTACGGAAGAGGACGATCGAGTCGCCAACGAAGAACTGCCACTGCTCCACGATCAACTTCCACTACCGACCAGCCCACCTCACAGAGACGTGATAGGCAATGACTTGTTGACATTGCAAGGCGACTGGGAACTTCCACCTCCAGTCGTACCCATTCAGATTTCCCCAATAGGAGGCCGACTTGGGACCTATGCTCCCAATTGGACAATTTTGGGAGACCCTTACGTCCTGTCCATGTTAACCAAGGGATTCCAGTTACCAGTTCATCGGGAAACCTCCGCTCACAATACTTCCGGATCGCAGAACGTATCCCAAACAACAATCGGCTGTTCTGCGATCAACGATAGACACTTTACTCAAGAAGCTTGCGATCGAATCCCTGGGTCCGGCCCCGACCAATCCAGGGTTTTATTCTCCAATCTTTCTGGTGCCCAAGAAGGATTCGGACAAACTGAGATTAATCTTCAACATGAAGACTTTCAACGAGAAATTTCTGCAGCCCCCGCCTCATTTTCGCATGATATCGGTGGCACTCCTCAAGACAATTATCAAGCCGGGAGACTACATGGTCAGTTTGGATCTTCAGGATGCCTACCTCCACATCCCGATATTCCCGGCGCATTGCAAATTCCTTCAGTTCATCTTCGAGGACATCCACTATCAATGGCGTGTTCTCCGGTTTGGAATTTCTTTGGCCCCGTGGCTGCTTACACGGGTAACGAAGCCTATCACCAGTTTTCGTCATCGCAAGAGGACAGTGTTCGAAGCCTACATCGACGACTGCATTCAGGCACAGAACAATCATGCCCTTCTGGTTCGTCACATGCAGTTTGCGATACAGCTTCTTCGCCAATTAGGATGGTTAATCAATCTGCAGAAATCGGAACTAGTCCCAACACGCCGACTTCAATTCATCGGAGCTGTTTTCGACACACAGGTCAACAGAATGTTTTTCCCGGGGGATCGTTTCTGCAGATACAGCGGTTGGTCTCCCTAGCTCTAGCGCAAGCCAGGACGCTCCCTCAATAGCAGGAACTCCTAAGCCTCTTGACGTCGGCTCAGGCGTTGACCCTCAGGGGTCAACTACAACTTCGTCCGTTACAGCTATTTCTAGCACCTTACATCAGAGTGGGGAATCCCGGTGCTTTGATCACTCTACCTCTGGAGCTTCGTCCTTATCTACAGTGGTGGATGATAGAATTGAATGTCTGCAACGGAGTCTGTTTAGAGCCGTTTGTTCCATCTCACCACCTGTATGTGGATGCGTCGGAACACGGGTGGGGAGCTCACCTTCTCAATCTACAAGTGGCAGGGCTGTGGTCTTCCGAAGATCACGCTTCTCACATCAATATTCTGGAGTTCAGGGCAGTGATTCTAGCAATCAGTCACTGGCAGGATGTTCTACAATCAACCTCTCTCATGGTCAGATCGGACAACGCAGCGGTGGTGTGGCATATCAACAGAATGGGGTCAACAGGGTCTCCACGGCTTCTACAGTGGACACAACGATTCTTCAACCTGGTGGATTCTCTCAAAATCTTGGTGCGTTTCCGCCAGTGGCCCTTCTTCCTCGCATTCTGGTGAAATTGCGTGCAACTCAAAGGATAACTCTGCTTTTGGTCGCGCCCTACTGGCCGGCCAGAAGTTGGTTCGTAAATCTTCAAGACTTAGCCGAACCAGATCCCGTGCCGCTCCCCAATTGACCCGATCTATTGGTTCATGCACACTCCGATCAACTCCATTGGTCTCCGGCTGACGCATCTACATCAATCATTAACGGCTAAGGGTTATTCTTTACGTGTTGCCACTGCCATCACTACAGCTCATCGTTCTTCTACCAGGTCACTCTACGATGACAAGTGGAAAAGTTTTGAAGCTTATTGCAGGAAGAAGGGCATCTTGTCTCCTACTACGGCATCCCTGCAGATGGTGGCAGAATATCTTCAACATCTCCGGACCTCCAGGAAACTTAAAGGATCAACTTTATCTACCTATCTGGCTGCTCTTAACACAGTTATTGCTAAAGCCTCGGGTGTGAAGATTTCCACTGTTCAGTCCAGTCCAGTCTCTCCAAAGGTCTTTCAAATTGGCTGATCAATGCCAGAAGTTCCGGCCTCCAGCTTGGGATCTCTCTGTTGTACTTGCTCATCTCAGTTCGGCTGAATATGAACTTTTGAAGGATAAAGACTTTGAACATATCTCCTTCAAGACCTTCTTTCTCTTGGCCTTGGCTACAGCGGCCCGTATCTCTGAGTTGCATGCTCTGGATGTGTCTCGAGTACGATTTGAAAAGACTAGACATGCGAAAGTTTTCCTTGGTCTGCGGTGGGATTTCCTGGCCAAGAATCAGTTACCAGGACAACTGGATTGCATCTTTACAATCCCACCATTGTCTACCATCTTGGAACCAGAAGACACGGAAGATCTTTCCTTATGCCCAGTTCGAGCATTGAGGATTTATCTAGCTGCCTCGCAGGATCGTCGAAGACTACGTAAGAGACTGTTCATCCCTATATCTACTGCCTCGACTTCGGAAGTCTCCAGTACTACCTTGGCTTTGTGGATGAGAACTACGATCCTGCGTGCCTATACCTTTGCTAACCTACCTCCTCCAGCAATGGCCAAGCCTCATGAGACCCGAGCTCTTGCGTCAACCATGGCTCTTCACAGGAACTGTTCCCTTCAGTCCATCATGGAGGGCTGTTTTGGAGATCGGATACTGTGTTCTCCTCACACTACCTCTGGGACCTCTCACTGACAGATGTGGAAGGACTACATCAATTCGCCCCTTGTTTCTGGCACAGCAACTGTCTTCGCCCGCCAGCAGAGATAAAGCAATCCTTCTTCGGTCGGTTCTGCTCTGTACATAATAAAAGATATCGATGTTATCCTTATCTTGGTACTTTTTGACCTGGGTCTAGACCCTTCTCACCTAGAGAACTAGGACGTGTTGGTACTGTCACACCATGGCGAGAAGACTATGAGGCAAGTCCTGTACTACATGTAGAGAAGGTCGACATTCCGCTTACTGACCTCTACTCTTTGAGCAATCACGTCAGTGAAGTGTTGATCCCGATTACCTGTATGGTTTTCAAAGCGTTCTGCTCCTAATTCCTTTCTCACCTTTGGTAAGTTAGGGAGATTGGTACTGAACGTTAAACTAGTTGAGCAACCGGGCTATTCCTTCTTTCACCGCCTTCCAGCGTGTCTGTGGGGGATAGTTTCGAAGCAGGACTGTCCAGATTAAGGTCCTCGACTTTAATTCACTTGGGTCACCTGATAAATCGTGGGGTGGCGGGGCCTACTTGCCAAACTGCGTCCTTTTGCTTGTCAAAAGTTGCGGCTGAAAACCACATTAACTCGGGAGCGCCCACTCCTTAGAGTTTTTGTGCTGTGTAAGCCAAGGGGTTACCTGAAAAAAAAACACAAAAAGTTTGCATATCGGGAGTTGGTGCTTTCTCCTGGCCTCCTTGAGTTATGCGTTTTCCCGGTGGTAGTAGTAACCGGGTTATCTGCGACCCGCCTACCACCCGTGGGATTATGCATACTGTGAGATAGGATAAGTTTAAAAATTTGAAAATTTTATAATAAATTGTATATTTATATACTTGTCCTATCTCACACGTTAGGACCCACCCGACCTGCCCCACATCACAGATTACTGGAAGCTCCAAGACGAGAATGACAAGTAGAGGTGGTCATGTGATCGTTTAGGCGAGCCGCACGCTTTGATGGATGATTGACAGGCATTGATGTCGGGGTGCAGGCAGAGGTCAGGGCGGGTCAGAGGCCAGTTAGATTTGACTCAACTTAGCTGACAGCACGTTTCCACACATGGTCGTAGAAGAGAGAGATGGTGCATACCGTGAGATAGGATAAGTATATAAATATACAATTTATTACAAAATTTTCAATTCTTTGGTAAACATTGATGTATGAATTGTAGGAAGGAATGATAACTGTATTTTTAATAACATTTTTCCAAATATCAGGTGAGATTTGAAGTAGATAGTTATAGTCTAATAGTGTCCCTCGTATTTTGTATTGTATCTTTAACTTATCAAAAGGCATAAATCCATGCTCATCACATACATCTTTTACTGTCAATAAACCCTTATCCGCCCAGTGTCTAATATAAGTGTTTTTATGATTATGATTGAGCCATAATGGTTGTGCAAGAATGTGATCAGTATTGTCAGAATCAGAATCAGCATTAACCTTTTTGCAATAATTGTTCCATGCTTTTAAACATCTTTCCTATAAGGGTTTTCAATGTTAAGTATTTTGTGAATATTTGCTCCATACTTGAAGATATCATTATAAGGTATATTAAAAGGATTATTGTCGGATGATTTTTTACAGTAATTATTGTCTAAGAGTGGATAATTTTAGAGCTTCAATAAATGTTTTTATATCAACCATACCCAGTCCCCCTTCAGCCTTTAATCTTTTCATTGTGATTCTTTTTATTTTATCATTATTACCATTCCAAGTGAATTTGAAAAATATCTTTTCAAGAAACTTGCTAAAGCCATCTGGAGGATTGGGCAATGAGCTTAAAATATGTACTACTTTTGAGAGGGCTAATGTTTTTATGACAGTAACCTTTCTTATCAATGTTCCCAAGGTTATATGATCAAGCTGGATTGTGTCAAATAGTTGTTTTAGTTAAAGAATGTGTTATTGCCATCGATTTCAAATAGGAATAAAACACAGAGAAAGAGAGAGAGAGAGAGAGAGAGAGAGAGAGAGAGAGAGAGAGAGAGAGAGAGAGAGAGAGAGAGAGAGAGAGAGAGAGAGAGAGAGAGAGAGAGAGAGAGAGAGAGAGAGAGAGAGAGAGAGAGAGAGACACACACACACACACACACAGAGAGAGAGAGAGACACACACACACACACCTAAAAACCCACAAAATTATGACAGGGTCATAGGTAAATTTCTAATAACAAAAAATTGCACTCGACTGATTTTTATGTCACTGGATGAACATTGGTTGATGGTAACTTAGTGGTAAATAAAATCATCACTGTTTAAACAAGTTCATGGTCAGCACAGGTATGGATGGTATATAGTGCCTAAATGCAAGAGGTAATTCGTTTAGAGTGTGTGATGAAGCATTTGTTGATATTTAGCAATTTCTAGAGCCAACAAAGAAACAGTACATTTTTAACCATTTACAATGATCCACTCTTATATCAACCCATGAAGATACAGGTTAGAGTTGATCTTCAGTAACCCATGCTTGTCGTAAGAGGCGACTAACAGGATCAGGTGGTCAGGTTTGCTGACTTGGTTGGCACGTCATCTTATCCCAATTGGGTAGATCGATGCTCATGCTGTTGATCACTGGGTTGTCTTGTACAGACTCGATTATTCAGAGACCGCTGCCATATAGCTGGAATAGTGCTGAGTGTGGCGTAAAACTTAACTCACCTACTCACTCTTACATGTACCCTGAAATGAAAACATTGCTGATGCCTGGATTTGTACCAAAGTAGGCAAAATATCATATTTTTTCACATGTATTGTCCTAGCAGACTCATTGCCAGATGCAAGAGAAGGAGAAACCCATGACAAAAAGGTTATTACAATTTGAGACACTTTTAAGAAATATTATAATGGTAAGCATTCCTTTATGCTAAAGGAACATGTTTGCACTTGGTGATAAATAATTTTACTTTTCAGGAAGGGGAGAACAGACTCCAAACAAGAGTAGATGTGATGACACCAAGATAGGTATTAGCTGATGGGTATAGTATATGGGACTAATAAACTCAAGATGAATCATAATTTGGTATGCAAATGCTAAGTATGAGGTTGTGTCAGTTTCTCATTTGGCTTCAGATATGGCATTTTCTCACGTCATTCATTTTTCTGAAATGGTTTATCGTCTCAGTTGATAAATGCTACATTTGTACATACATTGAATAATATTTGTGATATTCATGACAATGTGTATGTGGGGGGGATACTAGAAGGTACAAACTGTAAAAGAACTGGAGCTATAGGCCTAATTTTGTGATCTTGAAATTTTGAACAAGAAGGGCAGCTAACTGCATATCTATTGCACTGTCTCAAAACCACCAAAATGAGATCAGTCTTGAAACATTTGTAAAAGAAACATGAATGTTTTGTTTTGTAACAGTGTAATGATGCAACATGTTACATCTTGGTGCAGAATAGAAAAAAGTGGATATGTAATGTCCGTTTAAGGGAACGTTCATTATTTATGGCTTTTGTTACATTGGTTTTTTTAATTTATTTTATTTTATTTTTATTTATGTATCTATGTATGTGTGTGTGTTTATTTATTTATTTATTTATTTATTTATTTATTCATTGTGATGCTTTAGAAAAGTTAGGGTAATGTAATGTCCGTTTAAGGGAACGTATGTTTCAGGGAATGTATGTATGTATGTATGTATGTATGTATGTATGTATGTATGTATGTATGTATGTATGTATGTATGTATGTATTTATGTATTTATGTATTTATTTATTTATTTATTTATACCCCTGTGCATTAATTAGGCACCACCCTATTTTGAAAATAAGATGTGATGCTTCAGAAAAGTTAGGGTATAGCCATCAATTTAATCAACCTGTAGTTAAAAAAGCTTTATCCACTGACAGTTTTGCAGATACCATAACCTTTTCTATTCTTTATGAAAGAATATGTTGATTAAAATGTGATTGGACTGAAATTTTACCCAAAATAATTATTCCTCTCGTGCTCAAACTACACAATTGAATTACGTTTTGACTAAAAATAACAATTCTGTTATATACCAAGATGACATTTACACATCAAGTAAGCTTTAATTACGCATAATCGGGAAGAACCCGAATGTCAAAGATTCAGACATTTTTCCAACAATTCAGATTGCTAATTGACAAAACTGAAAAAGGCCACATTAATAAGATTTTGGAATAAATGTTTTTTGATTTTGAGTTTATTGTAATGAATAAACACTTCCCTTTGCCGGATACTGATAATTACAGCTAAAATCTGTTTGTTTTGTTTGTAAAGCAACTTTTAATGCATTTTAAAATTTGCCTTTTTTTTTTAGTTTGACTGTAACTTTTCCTAAATCTTAGTTTACAAACTTTCATGCATTCACAATAAATAACGAATGTATAGGCCACACAACAATCAATTATTACTTTCACTTTTCAAAACACCTGTTTTTAATATGGGCAATTATCCTAATCAAAATTCAATGATGTTTTCGTTTTTGAAATGTTAAATGCTTGCTCTATCAAATCATAAAGGTTATTTTTTGGAAAGAGTTGAGAGGAGGGGAGGGGGGGGGGGCATAATTGTATTTGTACATGGGAAGGGGGTCACTTCCTTTGTACATAAATTTTAAGTTACTCAGATGTACATGCTTCTCCATAAAAATCATCAAACTCCTCTCCCCCCTCCCCCTTGTGATTTTTGTTGGACTTAAGTTTGTACTGCCAAAAGAAAATTAGCTTGCTAATGCTATTATTATCTCATTGAAACTGACTGTTGCTATTTTTTTAACAAGCATAAAACATTAACTGAGTTAATGTATCTCGGTTGATGTATAACACAGTTTCCCAAATATGACCAAATATTGTGATGCAGGTACATGATGTACATGTATGGTAGTTCACCTCGTCCAAGCATTCGTTCACAATGGTACAAGAATCTTATCAAAACGTCACACTTATAAAACAAAAGAAGTTGTTATCCATAAAAAATTGTTCAATATAAATAAAAACACTTCTATCTTTTTGTACTTAAGAGCAGCCACATATTACCTCGAGAGGTTAACCGGAATCCAAATCAACAGAATATGATACTGACCAAGTACCAGGAAGAGGTGTCCCCATCACTGTAGATGACAAGTGATGACAGTTATCTTAATGGACTACAGGAATAATTCAAGTGCATTCATTATGCAGTTTACTGATTTGTTTGATGTATTTTGATAATTGTTCTGGCATTCTGATGTCAGCTGAGTAACACCTCCATAATGGAGACAAATTAAGGAACTTCTGTTTTGAAGCAGTAAAATAGTCTCAGCAAGATTTTTTATTTATTTTGCCAGCAGAACAGAAGTTTCCATTAATTTTCCCACACAAACATTTTGTGCTTTTCTGTTCCCCATTTGTGCTTATTAGACTAGTCAAATTTCTCAGAAATGTGAATGCATGAGGCATTTTTGAGTAAAAGCAAGCAAACAACATTTTCTGGGGTAGTTTTTCGTGCTGAATACGAATCTATTGTTTGCTAAGCTCAATAATGCCTAATTAGGTCACAAATTGGGTTCAAAGGTCAATGAGTGCAAAATTCAATTTTTTTAAAAAGTGTTTTATTTATCATTTTCCATCCATATAATGAACTCATTTTACAAGATATTGATTAATAATGGTACCATAGGATTTCAAAATGTTGAATTTCATGGAAATGCTGAAGGAAAAATTTCGTATTTTTGCAAATATCTCCCTTATGGAGCGACTTTTAGTTTTTGTGTGAAGAGCTACTTTTTACAAGCATTTTTGCTCAAAATGCAAAGCAAGGCTAAATCTTTTCCTTTTGTTAACAGAATTATATTCCAGGCAAACTGTTTAGGTCACAAAAACCGCATATTAAGCGCATAATTACTTCAAAGATTAATGAGTGTGACAGGATGCGATAGGCATTTTTACATGTATGCCACACGAATGCTTTTATACTGCTTCACATGCATGTCAAATGAAACTGCTTTCATTCATGCAGTGAGTTTGATTAATGATTTTAGCAACATAATTACCCACGGAACAGTTCAGGAAATCACAGGAACAGGTGGGAACCCTATCCGATAATGTGTCAAATACATAGTATGAAGATGAAGGCGAAAGTGGAACATAAATGCATACAAGCCATGTGCTATGACTGAAGGATCGAGGCTGTACTAAAAGACTTTGCTATCACATGTTTGGTTTAGTGATCTTTGTGCCGGAGGATTTTGTTAGTTGACACACTGCACTGCTTGTACTTTTTTATTCAAAAGGTGCAGTGTGTGTGTACCAGGAGAGGTCATCAGTGGCGGTATATACGTAGCACTGGTGTAAGTTTGTTTACAGGCCAAGGTTTATCATTTGAGCTTTGTATCATATGTCAGGAAACCAGTCGGTCTAAAAATACCTTCTACAACCAGACAGAACTGAACATCTAATCTATTTTTGAGGCCACCCAGTTCAGGCACAAAGTTCGGTCATCTGTAGACAGGCTATCATTCCTCTTTGAAGAATCTCCTGACGGCAACCCTAATCTAAAATGGCACAAACTCTGTTATTCAGCATACACACATTAGGGAAAAATAAATGTAAGGCATGCCAAGGAACAGTCCAATGCTTCACAAGGAAATGAACAGACTGGTGTTTCAGATGAAGATACCGCTTTTTACGCAGGGGTACTTCAACAGTGGATTTGTACACAAATGCAAAATATGTACACAAGCATGCTATCACATTGACTGTCTAAGTAAATTTCTGTGGGATGCCAAAAGGGCAGAAACTGACAGCAAATGAGCTGATATAGCCATGGCTTGGTTGTGTCAGGAGTTACGTCACAATGCTGAGAATGGACACGAATTTAAATTGTCTGCTATGTTCATGAGGTACAAAGAATTAGCCAGTGACTCTATAATCCTTTCATTTGATAAAGGAAACAAGTGCATTGTGGACTCTTGTCCCAGGTGCACGTTGCTCTGAGACTCCACAGTGATATAATGTCACATGTTGTGACGTGAGTGAAGAAGCAGAGTAGGCCAGTGTACATGCTTCTGAACATCTTACTTGGTGGCCAAAGTCATGTTTATAATGAGTTTGAAGAAGGTGAAATAGGCGCATCTGATGTTGAACGGGTTAAGAACACAAGGGTTAGAAGTACAGGGTACTTCGCACCAAGGTACCAAGTCTAGGGCTGGGACGGGGTAGGAAAAAATGGAATCGAGTACCCGCACGTACTTACCCGAATCGGGAATCGAGTACCCGGAAATGTTAGGAATACATAGCTTCTGTCAGCTTTCTGAATATTCAATCACGATTTGACAGAGATTATATAGAAAACCTGAAAGGATCGCAATGAGGCATTGAAACTGATCTTAGGCAATCTGACTTAAGTGTGTTTATAACCAATATAAAGAGTAACACGATTACTTACATTGCTGCTTAAAACACAGAACAGTTTTAAAACACTTTTCATTCCCGCTTTACTGTGACTTGACTACTCACTGCTCATGCACAGATAAATTAACGTCGCTTATGATAACCTCCATTAACCGGACAATACCAAAAATACGTGTTACGTTAAAAATGAAAATGACCAGTTATTCATTCAGCCAGTAGACAGCTACGATCATGTGTGATATTTTAACTGAACCTATAATGGTTTTACATGCAGACTTTATGTAAAGTTATATAGAATAAAATGTGATTGATATATTTACTGCCTGGAGAATTCTATACGAGATATACAGACAGGCAAACTTTAATGCAACTGAGTTGGCAACATAGCATCTATGAAGAGTGGTCATTTTGCTCAGTTGCATGAAAGTTTGCCTATCATACATTACAGAGTAGAGACTAATACAGAGCCGTGAATAACTCATTGGCCGTATATGAAATATTTATGGTGATTTAATTTTTATCCTTCCAGAAGATAAATGTCGCATTCAAATGCTTTTGTTTGAATGTAGGGATAAAGAAATGTATCTAAATGCTATATTATCACGTTTAAATTTACAAAAACAATTACATGTATTATTAAATCAATATTCCAAAGTTGCATCTAAGCAAACATTGCGTGTCTTCATTGGGATAACTGTATGCGTGTTATTATTTGTTAAACTATAAAATGTATAGAAACTGCAGTGGTATTGTATGTGAGTTACGTGACTTGTGCTTCTATTTCTGATCATCTTTCTTCTTATTGTAATAATAACCAGTCGAACATTGTATTTGCAAATCAGAATGTGCTCTTTCAATACTGGTATACGTTCGTTTAAATATGTTAATTCATTAGTATTAATTGCTTTTCCCAACACACACAATCATTCAATTGCAATCTCTTTAATAGTCAGTGTATTCAGGTTTGACGCAAATGTAACAGCTGTGTTTCATGAAATTGAAATAAAATAGAAACTAAAGACAAAATTCAATGTAATCTTAAACACTTTTAATGAACTCACTTGATAAGCAATGAACACAGTTACACAATGTAATGATCGGACACGTTAATGTTTTACGTTGTGTTTTAGTGCAAGATGTTTGTGCATTGAACTTGTACTGCTTCCGCAGTAGATTGGCATGGTACCACAGAGTCGGCATTTCGTTTTCTTGCCATTTGCATCAAGCTCACAATTAGCCCAAATACTCAACTTTGCATGCGCGTCGTCCATATTCCTCTAGGCTAGAGTTACCCACCCTTGTCATTACAGAGTTCTCTCCCTTTCCGGATACTCGATTCCTTGAAATATGACTCGATTCCAGCTGTACCCGACCCGGATTCGAGTACCCGAGTATCCGTCCCAGCCCTAACCAAGTCCATCTTGGACTGCCCCCAAGAAAAAAGAAAAAGAAAATCTCCCAAAGACCAAGTTCCTTGAAAACACTGCCCCAGTTTGTGGATCTAGTGCTTGGAGAACCCGGGTGTAACTGATGATGTGCCAAGCATTCTATATGGTATAGCTCAACTAGTTTTCTTGACTGTGCATGTTGATTGGTGAAGGGTCATACCCATACCAACATGTTTAGGTGGTGCTTCCTTTTCCCCGCAAAGACTGTAGACAATGTCTTGCCCCATACTACGAACACCTGTGTTCTTAATCCGTTCAACATCAGATACAAGCCTATTTCACGTTCTTCAGAACGAGGTACACTGGCCAACTCTACTTCTTCACTCACGTCACAACAATTGAATCCCGGATCTGACATATCACTGCAGAGTCTCAGAGCAACGTGCTTCAGTGACATGAACAACAAATTCATAAGTGACCCCAATGCACTTTGATAAAGGTCCCTTGAAGTCCTCTGTCTACTGAAATATGATGATGAGTCTGACTCATTGGTTAATTCTTTGTACCTCATGAACACAGCAGACAATTCAAATATGTGTCCATACTCTGCACGGTGACATAACTCCTGACACAACCAAGCCATGGCCATATCAGCTCATTTACTGTCAGTTTCTGCCCTTTGGGCATCCAACAGAAATTAACTTAGATGTGATAGCATGATTCGGCTGCTATTAAATCATTCACATCTATAATACGTTCAAAGACCTTGTGTGCATATTTGGCATTTGTGCACACTTTAGAATCTATTATTATGGTAGAAACATGGCTCGTCTTCTGCTTGCTTTCAGAGCTGTGACAGAAAATACACAACGTCAGGTTCACTGTTGAAGTACCCCTACGTAAAAAGCGGTATCCTTCATCTGAAACACCTGTCTGTTCATTTCCTTGTGAAGCATCGGACTGTTCCTTGGCAAGCCTTACATTTATTTTTCCCTAATGTGTTGTATGCTGAATAACAGAGTTTGTGCCATTTTAGATTAGGGTTGCAGTCAGGAGGTTCTTCAAAGAGGAATGATAGCCTGTCTACAGATGACCGAACTTTGCAATGTTTCAATTTGTGCCTGGGCTGGGTGGCCTCAAAAATAGATTAGATGTTCAGTTCTGTCTGGCTGTAGAAGGTATTTTTAGACCGACTGGTTTCCTGACATATGATACAAAGCTCAAATGATAAACCTTGGCCTGTGAATAGAAACAAACTTACACCAGTGCTACGTATATACCGCCACTGATGACAC